TATAGTATATAATATAATGTAATACAATATAATATAATATAGTATAATATAATATATATTTATAAATATTTAGTTATGATTATAACTATAACTATAGTTATAATTATAGTTATAAAATAATACATATCATATAATATCATATTACATACAGTCTCTAGTGTATGATATGTTTCGACCGGTGTTGACTTCCGAGCACTGGCGAGGGCCCACCTTCGAGGAGCACAGATCTCTAAGGCCAAGCCGCGGCGTTCCGGAGGGGCGCTCTCCCTCCGAGTCTGTCGAATTGCATCTTAGTAGGGTTTAGGGGTTGGGGCTTCGTGTTTAGGGTAGGGGTTGAAGTTTAGGGTTGTGGGGTTTAGGGTTCGAGCAATTCCCCCAAATGGGAAGCTGAAGAGGCAGAAAAGTTGCAGCAGCACGAACAGAAGCAGCATCCAGCTTCATTGCGGGTCCGCTTCCCTACAACAGCAAAGACGACGACCATGCCGACCACGGGAATTACACTGACAACCAGGAACAGAAACAGGAACAGTATTATGCTTCATATAATGCCATCCCTGGCTATGGCCAGGTCCACTTCGACTCTTAGTTGCACCAACGGCGACGAAAGCGCTTACTAATAAATCTCTGCAGGAGCTGTGCCAAAGTCACGACGATCGTGCTGGGCATGGGGGGTTCTGTGCAGGCAGCATGGGCTGTTGTGGGAATGCCAAAAGATACTTTTCTGGCGACAACCAACCTGGCAAGCCACAATCGGATCGATCACGGAAACCATGCAGAAGCTAGCCTGACCAGCCTGATCCCACTTCGTGTTCTGGTCCAGTTCCTCTTAGAATGGACACGACGACACAAAATACCAGCACCGCAGTGCTGGGAGGTTGAGATTGGAGCGCCTGTAGAAACGCGGGCTTCGGCCAGCACAAAGGACGTTGCACAAGATTTGCCGCATCGCCAGGGCATGTTGTGCACAACGCATGCGGTGCACGTTGTGGACTGGGGTCGGGTGTTTTCGGCAGCACCGCTGCTAAGTGATGGACATGACAAGCAACACTGTTACTAGTGCTGCGCAGTGGGCCAGTGTGCGGCTGGTATGAGGCAGCATCTGTACAATCCCGAATCGTGGGATGTTGGCTGCTCTACCATTTTGGTTCTCAAAGTACTGCGACGACTACTGCGGCAAATGCGCAAACAGCCTCGGGGTCCGCCATGACCGATCCTTTGAGGCCTTTGAACATGTGCATACACTTGCTTGTGTGTGTGTGTGCAAATGAACGACCAGAATGAAGAAATAAATCAACACACACACATGTGTATATATATGTATATATACGCACATGTATACATACATACATACATACATACATACATACATTACATTATACTTTACATTACGTTACATTATGTTACATTACATTACGTTACGTTACATTACGTTACATTACGTTACATTACGTTACATTACGTTACATTACGTTACATTACGTTACATTACATACATGCACACACACACACATACATGCATACATGCATACATGCATACATACATGCATGCATACATACATGCATACATACAATACCATACCATACCATACAATACAATACAAAATATCATACAATACATTACACTACACTACATTACATTACCGTACCTTACATTACATTACACGACATTGCATTGCATTACATTACATTACATAATATTACAATACATTCCAATGCATTACAATACATGGCAATACACGACAATACATTACAATGCATTACAATACACTACAATACACTACAATTGCATGCATACATACATACGTGCATACATACATACATACATACATACCTACATATGTATATATATATATATATCGACATAGATAGACAGAAATATGGCGGGAAATATAATTTTGCCCGTATGCTGGGTGCTTGTGTCCTGTGCCTGGGGTGAGAATTAGTCTGCTTTCAAAATGATGTGGAAAGTGGCCATGTGTGGCTTGATGCAAGTTATCGAGCAGGAGCTATTGCCCAGGCCCAGGTGTGATGACGCTGCTTGCAACCATTATGTATGTCTCAAATGCTGCACCTGCCATAATAATGAATGCAAGGCACGTGTGAACGCTAAACCATGTAGTTGTCTAACCGTGTGAAGGGCTGCGAAACCATTGGCTTACGGCTGACTCCGGCGGAGATTTTTGGCTGTTGTGACCCACCTGTCCATCCCAAGAGAGTCTGTTTGCAAACCTCTTGAGGGAACTGGCAGGCTGGAATAGCGCTAGACTAAAACTCACAGCTTCCGCTTGAACGATGCCTTCGAAGGGCTCAAACTCGAATGTGCCCAACTCTCTCGTTTCTGGTTTCTCGGTGTTCTTATGGTCACCACCGTGAAATCTAGAAAGGTCTATGACCTTCCCAAGGTTATATCAATGAAAGCCGGAGGTTTACAAGACAGAGAAGAATAAACATAAGAGCAAACACACTATCGCCACGGCGTTGTTCTACCATGTCTTACCATTGCAGGTAGCAGTTGCACTGTGTACACGCGCTTGTGTTTCTATGAACGTGGCTCTAGATCTTGGGCTTGTGAACAAGATGTCTTTGCCAGCATCTAAACGCTGTGAATACATGTTTTATTTTTTGCACATACTCAGTGTGCAGACCTTGTTCATTTATCCGCATGTATACATGTATAGAGAATCGCAATGTTGAATCAATATTGTAAAGTCTGTTGCTATCACTTGTCCTACATTGTAGCTGTCCCGGCCAAACTCTTAACCCTAAACTCCCGTAGACATGAAGCCCCGCAACCTGAACCCTACACTGCAGATCCCAAAATCTAGAGGCCTAGGTAGGTTAAAAACTTAGATACGTAGTCGTAATGATACTCCGAAGACTTAAACCGTGAACTCTCAAAAAGTCCGCAAAAACTACCAAAATCAGGGGGCTAAACTTCCACGAAGATCCGTATCCCTGAACCCCAAACGCCCTAAGTTTTTCAAAGACCAATAAACCCAAAACCCTAAACCATCAACCATAGTGCTGAGATCCTGCTAAGGCGACTAAACCACCCCCCAACAAAGGGCCAAGACTGCTACGATCCTTCCAAGACCAATAAACTAATAAAGCCCTAAACCCTAAACCCCTCAAAAAGGGCTTAGGGTTTAGGGCTTAAACCAATAAAGCCCCAAACCCTAAACCCCTGAAAAAGGGCCTGAGACGCTCCTGAACCCTCAACCCCACAACAAGGGGCTAAGACCCGTCCAAGACCTATCAGGCCCCCCTTTCAACCAAAAAAAGAGCTACGATCCTTGTCAGACCAACCAACCCTACAAACACATAAACCCAAAATGCCACCAGAAAAAAGGTAAGATCCTTCTAAGGCCCAGCCCAGAAAGCCCTAAACCCTAAACCCTCAAACAAAAGCTCAAAGGATGTCAGACTCTACGAAGGTCCCTTTCGCCTGAGCCAAGGCGGACGGCATCTCACCGCCTTGTGCGTTGCTTCTTGCCTTTGGGGCCTCGGACTCACGGCGGGAGGGTTTCGGGCTTTAGGCTTCAGGGCTTAGGGCTTACCTTGGGATTCAAAACCCTAGGTTTGGGGGGTTTGTAGGGGTCATAACCTACGATTTGGTGGGGTTTGGGTTACAGGTCAGGCTGAGGGTTTGGGGGAGCCTTAGTGTTTACGGGGTTTAGGGCCTAGGGGGTGTGGGGTTTAGTATAGACGGTTTAGGGCAGGTTCGGGCTTGTAGGGTTTGGGGCTTCGGGTTTAGGGACTGTTTGAAAAGGAGGCGTCAGTATTGAGGGCCCCAAGATCCGACAGGAGCCCAAGGTGAGTTTTGCGCAAATCATTTGATAAATGATGTTTGGAGAGGTATTTTGTCAGGAATTCTGAGGTTGTGTTTGGAAGGCATTCTGGAATGGGCAAGCGTTCCAGACAAGCATCTCGAGGGAGCACCCCCCGAATCTGAACGCATTTCACCATGTCATGTTGCAGGACCCTATGTTGGAACACTTTGTGGTCAGCAAAAACCATATCCGAAACAGTCTTCGAGATGCTTTTTCGGAATTCTTTGTGGCATACTTCTGGGAGGCCCGTCCTTCCCCAGACCCATCTCAGAAGCCCCCGGCAAACTTTTCCAAAACAGTGTTCCAAAAAGAGTGTGTGTGTGTGTGTCCGTGTGTGTCCGTGCGTCCGTGTCTTTGTCTGTGTCTGCGTCTGTGTCTCTGTGTGTGTGAGTGCGCACGCGTCTGTGTGCTTGTGTGTGTGAGTGAGTGAGTGAGTGAGTGAGTGAGTGAGTGAGTGAGTGAGTGAGTGAGTGAGTGAGTGAGTGAGACCGTATGTGAAAGCAGATACTCCGGCATGGTTGCACGTATGATTATGAATCATGAACATGTGCATACCGTGATGCATGCAATCATGTCTCTCTATCCTGCATATTTGTTCACTTGCTGTTTTACCCGATGCTTGTTCGCAGGTTTCGTGCCGCTAGTATTGTCTCTCTATCGTGGCTCTACCTGTGCACATATGGGTATGTAGCTTTCTGCGCACATAGACGTACAAGTACAACGAGATGATAACATCCAACAACGAGGCAAAATACATTATAAGGTACACTGTCATACAAAGACTAAATCGGAGTAGAATACAAACAAACCCCGGACATTGTGCCGGTCAGGACGACTCCATCACACGCCTCCACACACCATGCTCTCAGGTCTAGACGTTCACCATGATGCCGGGTGATCGTGCGAGTCTTCGATCCGAGCTAAGCCCTGAGCCCTTGAGCCAGCTGCATGTCATGCAAAAGAAGTTTGGTTCTCGCAAGAAGCTCAACAGCCTTCAAGATGCAGATACACTCCCACAAACTTGCATATTCGTCCCTGCTCATCGGCCCGTTCATGCAACTAGAGCCCACGCAGAGCCAACTCAGTGCGAAAGCATCGAACCCGAACTCCGAGCTCCGCAAGACCTGGAACCCCCCTGCTGTCTAGGCGGGTGGAACGTAAGACGCGTGAGCCTTCACGTAGGCCTCGTATTCCTTCCGGAACTTATGGGTGTCAAAGGCGACGATGAGGTCCTTCGTCTGCTGAGGGCTGTCAGCAGATATTATGCGTTTGAAACCCATACATGTGACCTCGGCTGCACCTCTGGTAGCTCTAGGCTTGAAATTTTGCCGTGCGTGCGGCTCAACTGAAGTGTCTGCCGTACATGACCTGATGCACATCTTTACAACAACCAATTAAGCATTACACGAGGTTTTTTTTAAAGAGCCATGTTCTGATAAGAAAAAACAGCAAGAACCTGCTGCACTCCCCGGAGCGAGACATGAATCGGCGGGGAGCACCCTCGAGTGACTCACTCACGGATACGCAGCTCCACAAGGCGCTGAGCGTTGCTCAACTTCAGGGGCGGTTGCAGCCATCGCTTCTAGGTTTCAGAGGCTGAGAAGGGCTGCACAAAAGATGGGAAGCATTTAGGAGTCTAGGCTACACCATTGCCGTGTAGAGCAAGTAGGTTGACGTGTCCCACAAACAAGGGAATTAGTGCTGGGGTTCCTTTTTGTGCATGAGGGTAGGGTCGAGGGATCTGGGATAGTTGTCGTTTTTTCATTTATTGACCAGCGTCCTTTGTAATAGCATTGCGTGTTTCGGCGGCATATTCGCTGACATATTCGGTGAAGCTTTCGGTGATAGTTAGAATACCTTCTCACTGAAACAATTCCTTGGACTTTACTGCGACATATTCGATGACATCTTTGATGAAACCTTCGTTGACCTGTTGATCGTAATATAGCATTATCAAGTGCCTCTCCTGTAGGCTTCATTGACCTTTGCTTTAAAAGGAGGGTCGCGGCGCATGGCCGTGTCTGCTAATTCGTTCCAACGCGCAGGGACGGTTGCGTCGAAGTGTGCTTGAGGAATGTAGATGCTTCTATGAAGGTGCTTGCCGACCCTACGCACATGCTTGATTCTAGGGAGGTTTGTTCCCGGTTGAAACAGGATTTTGCCGCATTGGGTCACCATGTGCTACTCTCAGGATATGGCCTAATAAGCGAAGTTTTTCTGCATCCAATAAACTGATAGTTTAGCGTACCTGTATTTTTGTATTTGCCACAAAGTGTCCACAATTCTTTGGTTCGTCCAGCTTCTGTCGACATGGGTGGGTAGAATGTTGAGCACACGCCGGAACATTTTTAGTTGAAATGCGTCTGTTTGATCTTGCTCACCCGGCCGTATACCAACTTGCTAAAAACAACGGATTCCATCACTCGTAGTTTCTATTTAACTGTTGTGCGGGCTTTTGACCAGAACCAGCCGAGTTGTTTGGCGACTGCTGTGGCTTCTCTGATTCTTCGGATAACTTCCTGATGGTAGTCAATTGCGTCTGCTAGAGTTGCTCCAAGATACTTTGCTCGGGTTTTCCTCGGAAGCCGACCAATCCGTAAATCTGATAGAGGGTAGTTTCCGATTGATAGTAAGGTTGATACATTTTCAAAATTAAGTTTCCTTCTGTATCTGGCTGACTCTATTTGCATTTGTCGCAGCAGCTTGTTTATCGTGTGGGTGTGTGTGTTCCAAACAATAGGGCATCGACGGCATAAAGAACTTCTGCATAGTTAATTCTGCATAGTTAATGCATGTTATAGGTTGTCGCTGCTTTGGTGTGCATAAAACTGATTTGATTTCCTGGAAAACTGCTGCTATCAGAACTCCAAAAACGTCTGGTGATAGTTGTCGTATTCCTGAGTTTTGCGTCTGATAGTTGGAGCGGTCGTTGGTTTTTACAACTCTGAACTTTGCGTTTTGAAAAATGGTCTGCACAAGGCAAACAATACATTGGGGGTATACATAGTCGAGATGGTACTTCAATGAGTTTGTTCTGGTCTACTTTGTCAAAAGCCTTCTCCCAGCCTACAAGGTTAGATTGGTACCTTGCCTTTCTGCCATATCCATAAGTCTTCTTGCGATAAGCAATGCTTGCGATGTAAATTTTTCTTGCGGAAGCCAAACTGGGTCTTTAGACATCCAGGCGCTACAGTGCAGGTCCTAAACGGTGTTTGACAAGAGCTGCCCGTATTTGATAGAAGGTCTGTAAAAGCGCTATTGGCCGATAACTTTCCACAGATTGAGAGATTCAGGGTAGTTGCCATGAAGCAGTATGTCGTTGAAGTGAACTAGAAAATTTCGTCTGTTGTCGTTGCTCAACCATTTTACTAGCTCTGTAGTAACCTCATCCGGCCCTGGACTCTTGTTGTATGTTAACCGTTTTACTACAGCGTTGAAATCGTCAAACGCAAAAGCAGATTGGTTAACTGCTGCGCCAACATCTGAAAGAGAAGCTGTCTTGGGTTCATGAGCAGTTTCCGGCTTCTTCTATGCACATTCGTCAAGAACTCTGCCGCCGCAGCAGGGAAACTGCTTTCTGGAATGGGGTTGCCTCTCTTATCTTTGAATTTTGTAAGCTTCCCTCATCTGTTTTATGCCTCTCCATGTATGACCCTGCGCGTCTATCTCTTCAAGTTGCTGCAGCATATTCTTTCTTTTGTCATATAGGGTTTGATTCCTCAACTGCTTTCTCAACTTCCCTTACAAAGAAGGTCCCAAGCCTCTGCTGAAACATATAGTTTTCTTTGTTCTGGGGGGAAATATCGTAAATACATTAGTAGCCGCTTCATGCAGTATGTCGGCCCACATCTTTAGTGGGTCGTTTGTATAGTGGAGTTCACTATTTGCAATCAGCTCCGAAACATGCGTGTTGTCCTATCTATCTGATTTTGCGTGGGAGGTCTAAACTTTGGTGCGGTTCTTGGGTTCCGCATGTCGAAACTTTGCAAGTTTCACACGCAGTGTACCAACTAAACGCTTGTGGTCCGTTGTAATTGAGTGACAACAGCTAGACTCAGCATTGGTTACAGCATTCCGCCACTTGGTATAAATCAACATATAGTCCAACTGGGCGAAAGGCGACGTCGTGTAAGGTTCCGAAAAGCTAAGAGTATGTAAGAGTTGTAGGATTCCGGTATGTTACTGTTTGGCGGTATCCTTTTGAAATAATGCGTTTGTAACAACTAGCCTGTTGTCTTGGCACATTGAGAGAAAACGCTCGCCGTTGTTGTCTTCGTGTGGTAGTTTTTCCATACGCCCGACATTGAAGTATCCGATGACTACATTCATTTCATGCTTCGGTAGCTTGCTTGGCATATTTTCTAATTTATCGTAAAAATCGTCCTTGTCCTTTTGAGGTCTAAGCAACCCAGAGTACGCCTAATCACTGCTACGCGAAACCCGAGACCTCTGAATCCTCTGTCTGGGCTTTGTGATTTTGAGCCCCGTGCCCAGTGATCCATGGGCTTCAGCTTGGGCGGCAGCGGCACCGGATGCTTCGGATTTACCTGCAAGATCCCGGGCTCAAGGCCCAGGCAGACGGATCAAGACGGCACTTTCGAATCACTTGAGTTCTGGGGCTGGGGCTAGGGGGTTTAGAACCCTAAACCCTGCATGAACCGGAACTGGCGGGGTTTTGGAGGGAGTGGCGGCGACGTTTCAGAGTAACTCAAGACCACGGATCGAGGGAATATTGAGGCCGGCTCGAAAGCCCCAAACCCTCCACCCTAAGCTCTATAGGGTTTAGGGCGGGAAGGGTTTAGGGTTTAGTACCCTGAAAACTCAAATTTCAAATTTCTACGCTCTCCGGAACGGGACAATCGATCCCTTGAACTTCGGCTTGGAGCAGAAGGCGGTCAGGCCCCCGACTCACCAATCAGAAATCCTCGAAAAAAGCCCTCGAAAACCCTAAAGCCCCCCAAACTGTTCCACCCAAACTGCCCTAAACTTCCTAAACCCTAAACCCTAACTGCCCCTAAACCCAAGACCTCTAAACTCCTCAGAGAAGAGATGCAGGCCCACCTCGACGCAGCTGCGCTCGCTCATAGCATCCTCCTCTGGGATCACGGAGGTGGCGTACGGAGCCGGTCGGCGTGCCTGCATCTTACTTAGGCTACGGGTGGGTGGAAAGAGGGCTCGGAAAGTTGGGGGGTTTGAGTCTCCACCTTTGAAGGGGTCAAAAGGGCTCAGACTTTCGGAAATCGGAGCCTTCAACCGGGAGATGTTAGGATTTGGGGCTCGGGGGCCCCTCTCTTTTCCGCGTTCTTTTGTTGAGTCATGCCCAAAGGCATCAGGAGGGTTGCTTATATTATATGACATCATACTACACTCTTATATTATACCGTATTAAAGTGTATTCTACTGTATTATTATACCATGTTAAACTGCATTGTACTGTATCATCCCGCCTTCTTCGGGTTCGCCGAGGCCGTCGCTTGGTCCGGCGCAGGAGTTGTCCTCTGGGTTTAGGGCCTTTAGACCCTTCAGAGTTTCGGGTTTAGGGTTTCGGGCTTTTCGGGTTTCTGCAGCGGATTCTTCTGAGGACCCGAGAGACCCTGAAGCAGAAGGGCTCAGCCGGGCCTCGTAGGTCTAGTCGCGGGCTTAGGCTTTTTGTTGGGGCTCTGGGACTTTTGGGTGAAAGGCTCGGGGTTTAGGGCTTAGGGTTTAGGAAGATCCTCAGTGATTCAATCGAGAGCCGCCGGCACACAGCACAGAATTACTCTGGTCCAAAGATGGGGTCTGCACCGCGAGCTTATGACCAAAAGCGCACGCTCTCTTAGGCAATGATGGCCAAGGCTATTCCGATTTCGGGCAGTTGAGAGGTCCTGGCCAGCTGTGCTGCTGAGGCACTTCGACCGCCGCTGCCTGCAAAATAAGAGCTTCATTTAGGGGTTAGAATGCTTCGTGACAAGATCCCCTTATAGATACAGTATCTTGTCTGTTATAATACCCCAAAACCCTGTTTGTGTATGGCCGAAACAGGCCGGGGGGGGAAGCCAGCAGCAGGCTTCCAGCCACTCTGAGGTTCCGGAAAACAGGCGCGTCTGACCCCATCTATACCGGCAAGCTCTGGAAAACTTGGACTCTTGGACCCGGCTTCTCTTGCTCTTATACCTAAACCCTAAACCCTAAACCCTAACTTCCTGAGATATTTCAGGCAACGCAGGCCTGAGGGATCCGGTCGTATCCTGCCAGACGCCAGGATGAAAGCATGAAGGGGAGATCTCCCACAGGGCTTTACGTTAAGGTTTGGGGTTTAGGGTTTGGGTTGAGGTTATAGAGTTTAGGGTTTGGGGTTTGGGGTATAGGGATTAAGGTATCTACCGGAAAGGCGCCTGGCCTTGCAGAGGAGCCACTGTGGCCTTCTACACCTGGAGGCGCCTTCAGATCAGGCACGGACCTGCAACGCAGCAGTTTCCAGAATTGCATTTAGGGTTTAGGGTTTAGGGCACATGGTCTACAGAACCGTAGTGAATGGAAAGATGCAAGCACTGTGCATTTGGACCGACGCATCGCCACAGTTCCACGCGCTGTGCCCAGAATTGGGGGGGCGACAATTCATAGCTCGCTGTGCAAGCGGCATCGCCATCTCTACAAAGACGCCTTCTCGCGGATTATGAGCTCTCGCCAGCTGTAAAATTCTGGGACAACTAAAACTGCACGGGCAGCCGGTTTGCCAGCACCTCCCAGTTGCAGTCGTCTTGAGACGAACGGCTTCGCAGCCGCTGTACAAGTCCCCCGAAATTGCGGGAGGCTCGAAAACTGCCTCAAGGTGCTCCACTCACGATTCCTGAGAGAGTTGAAGTGCGATGCTTGTTGAACAAAAAGGGGGGGTGCAGGCAGGAGCAGAAGTACAACTTTCAGGGGGCCAAGGCCAAAACTGCCACATACAAAACGGTTTAGGGTTCGGGGGTAAAAGATGGCCAATTGCATGTTCCGGAGATTGGCGTAGAATTCGGGCCTAAGGCGGGGTGGATGTGCTGAACGCCGAGACAGCTGAGGTGTGGGCAAGTTCTCTCACAAGTCGCCAGCAGGAGAATCCTTGGAGCCATTTAAGCCTTGGCCCTCTGAGCCTAGCATCAGAAGTGTAAAAAAAAAGCCCTAAACCCTAAACCCCAAAACCCCTGAACCCCTAAACCCCTATTCCAGATATATTGTTAGTTCTTGCCCGGAATACCCCCAATTGTAACCTTACTAACCAAGTCCCACAAGCCTGTAGATAGTCAACAGTTTGGGGCTTTTCCCTGGGAACCTTTCTCCGAGCCGCCACCCAGCACGATGCTCGCCTGGATGCCCTGTGGCCGCGTCCAGACTTCACCTGCGGGCGAGACGGAGCGCCACGGTTTGGGGTTCAAAGCTTTGGGGTTTAGGGTTAAGGGCTTAGGGTCTAGGGTTTAGGGGTTTAGGGGGGTTAAGGTTTAGGGCTCAGGGTTTAGGATTTCTGGACAACGAAACGAACAATCTTAACCTAATGAGCTTAAACTGTTCTGTGTGATCAACACGTATAACAAAAGGATCGCTGTTGTGCTTCCTGTTCCGAAAGGAGCCCAAAGCCCAAGGATGCTCGTGTAAACTTGCGATGAGGACCCCGAAGTAAGGCAAGCCTCTTTTTTTAAGCAAAAACCCCAAACCCTAAAAGCTAAACCCTAAACTCTAAAACCTAAACCCCAAACCCTAAAACCTAAAACCTAAACCCTATAGACCCTAAAACCTAAACCCTAAAACCTAAAGCCCAAACCCCAAAAACCGCTCCAGAAACTCCCGGTGCCGAGGCCCAGACATCGGCCCCTGCTGTACTCGACGCCCTGACATCCTTCCGTCCGCCGGCATCGGGACTGACACTGCTCCAGGCTCCGCATGCCTAGGTTTAGGGTTCAGGGCTTTCGGGCTTTAGGGCTTTGGGGCTTTAGGGTTTTAGGGTTTAGGGTTTTAAGGCACCCTAAACCCTAAACCCTAAACACTGTTTTAAGGTTTAGGGTTTAGGGTTGCATGGGGGGTGTTTCAAGCTTCAGGGCCTTTGGGTTTTAGGGCTCAAGTAAAGGGGTCTAAGATCACATGGGGGTTTCCGAAAATAGGGGAACCCTAATATAGTACCCCAAATAGTAGGATCCTTATTATTATAAGGACCCCCAAAATAAGGTACCCCTAATTTTCGGAAAGTCCCATGTAGCGACGAAGCTTTCCAGGAGACTGGCAAGGGTTTACGACTTGAGGGCCTGAGCTCTGGGTAACATCTTCGGATTTTTCATGCTGAAGCCGACAGTGCTTATATCATATCATACCATCTCATCTCATTTCATATCATGTCATTTCATCTCATATGAAAGTATATTACTATCTTATCTTATATTCTGTTCTTCCAGCTGCTAACATCTCAAACCAGGTGTTGATGCTTCTCTGCTCTTCACGATCACGACTATTGCCTGCTCGGGTCTACGCGAAAGCGTGCACCTCATTTTCTGGGAACATCCACCCGACAGCTAGGAGACCCTGAGCCCGGACAGCAAGATATGCGATGAGTGATGAGATCTATTGTGGAAGCGTGCCACAAGAGCTGGCTGACTCAACTTCCCGCTGAACGGCTCTCATGTCAAACCAAGCTGCTTCCGACGACCCGGTAGTACGCAGCAGAATTGTCCGCCGGCGTGGCACCCCGACAGGCACGATCACTTCCACCGTCCACCGGCACGAAGCGGCCCGTTGTAGGCAAAGAATAGGCGAGACACCAAAAGTTCGGCAGGGCTTTGCTGCTCTGTATTCCCTGGCTGCGAGTCCAGATCTCGCAGCGGCTTCCGGAAAACTCCACGCCTACGCACTCCGCCCTGAGCTCGCAAGCCCTCTGACAAGCCTCCAAGGTTTGGGCCATGGTGACGGTATAGTAGCTTGGAGAGTTATCTCCAGGCCAACTTCCCCGGCATGCACGGCCTTCTCCACCATCTACCGGGCTCCAAACTTTGGAAGCTGGCAGTGAGGTTGTGGTTGTGGTTGTGGTTGAAGCTTGTGTTCTAGTTGTGGTGCTTGGCTTCTCTGTTGTGGTGCTCGTGGTGGTAGTGGAACTCTGTGTGGTTTCTGATGTTGATATGGAAGGAGGGCCTGTGCAAGAGCTTCCCGTCGGAACTGGCCAGGAATCAAAGCAACGGAAAGCGATGATGTCTCCTGTGTCCAAGGTCACGGAAAAGGAAGCAGCATCTCTCTTCCCGGCAGTGCTGGCCGACCAGGTGGCGCCACTTACCCTGCTCATTGTGAAGGCACTTTCCCCCAAGAACAGATCAGCCTTCATAACTGCAGAAACCAGATTCGAGAAGATCACTTTCGTGTACCAGGCATTGTCACCGTCGAGCACCGTCGCCACAGGCCCCGCGCCTCCGACGTCGCAGTCGACCGGCTCGTAGGTGATTGGAAAAACCCCAGTGGAAGCCCCTGTGATTCTTTGAAAGGCCGTCAAGTGGCAGTCAAAGGCCTTCGCACTCCCAGAGTCGACGACCTGGACCACCAGGCTACCAGGCACACCCGGATCGGTAGCAGGACTCCCGTCGTAGGAAACACGCCAACACGAGCCACAGGCCCCTCCCGAGGAGTACAGCGTGCTATCCACTGCGCAGTAGCCTTCAGAGGCTATGTAAGGGCTCGATGCAGCTGGCGAGCCAAGCCCACCGTTCGCGGCATTGGCATATTCGCACGAGCCTCCAACAATCGTGGTGGTACTGTCGCTCCACATTGTCATGAAGCCGTCCGCGGCTGCGCGCTGCGACTGCGACTTCATGGTGCTTTGCCGAGCTTGTAGCATTAATGAACCTGAAGTTTGTGCTGGACATGTGGCGTTCTTCGCCTGGACGCATGCCTGAGCGGCAACAGAAAGGCAAGCCTGACAAGACCGTCCAAGAAAACTTGCTGCACTGAGTGCACTGGTGCAAAAGCCCAAGAAAGCCCAGCTGCGATTAGTGCGTGCCAACAGGCCAGAAACCTCAAGGAGAAGAGGCCATACCTTCGATCTCGACACTAGGCCATCGTCAGACTGCGACACTGAAGCAGCCCGCAGAACAGGAGCTTTGCATTGTTGAAACGCATTGCTGATGGTGGCCCTGACGACTTTGAGACCATGGTGATGGTGACGGTGGCGGTGATAATGGTGGTGGTAGTGATGGTGGTGATGGTGGTGGTGATGCTTATGCTGATGCTGATGCTGATGACGATGACGATGATGATGACGATGATGGCGATGATGACGATCATGACGATGATGGCGATGACGGCGACGATGAGGATGACGATGACGATGACGATGACGATGATGATGATGATGACGATGACGATGACGATGATGATGATGATGATGCTGACGATGACGATGATGATGGTGATGATGATGAAGATGGTGATGATGATGATGATGATGATGATAACAATGATGATGATGGTGGTGGTGGTGAGGATGACGATGATGATGACCAGGATGGCTATGATGATGACCCCTCATATCAGCGGACATAACCATGACCGGCCAATGGCAAGGATGAGAACCGACAGCGAGTCAGAACACCCAAGTAAGCATCCATAAGAGAACTCTGCAAAATACCAAACGACAACAAACCGAAAAGCTGCTACACTGGCAAGTACTTGCATAACTGACCTCTTCAGGAGCATGAACACAAGCCGAATGGCTTTGCCATCGCAGGCATGGACCGGGCTGCGAGTGAACAGTGACCTTTGAGCCCTTGCGGCCACAGAACGTTCGGATTTACGGTTTAAGGACAGGGCAAGAAGATCAATATTATGGACCTGTCGGAAATGAGTGCCCTCGAGCTCAAAAGCAATCTTTCCGGGCTTCAGTAGGCGTTGTGGCCTCGCTCTGATCCTGTTCCGGCCCTGGGACACTGAAGCCCAAGTCGCCCCCAGCCTGCTCAAACCTTTCAGCTCCTTCCCTCCACGCCGCTGCCTCCTGGCTCATGTAGTGCAAGGGTTTCTGGGGTGCTTTTTGCCAGGGTGTAATGAATGCTCACGGAATGGAGGACCGTGCCAGGGGACTAAGTCCCATGATTTAAGCTGAGCTGTCGGAGCCGGTGCCTTGCTTTTGCCACAGAGCGCTCGATGGCATCGAGATCCTCGCCGATGATTCCACTCACGTGCTTCGATGCGATGGGACCAACAGCTCCGTTACTCGGGTCGGCCTCGCGCTCGAGCTTGGTGCGCCCCTGCAGGCGACCTTCTACCTGCATCGGACTTGCGCACTCACACGGAATGTATGAACGTTTGTTCATTTTTACACATGTATATTTTTTTCTGCTGAGCGTGACTGGGCTCTCGACCAAAGCACATATTGTGCTTTTCACCAAACATGAGGACTATAAAATAGGCAGGAGATCCAATCCTAAAACAACCGCACCGACATTACCAGCATGACCCTGAAGTGACATTACCAAGAGTAATACCAGGAGAAGGCGCGAAGCCTTTTGGCAAAGCCAACTTTTATGCAAACGGAGGTAGCCTCTGTATTGATGTATTCATTACATCCTGTAGCTGATTGTTGTTCTCTATGTCAAGAACTGATATGTGTCAATGCAGGTTTCCGTAAGCCAATCGCTTCGGGGTCTGCCAACTCTTCTTTTGATTACGGGCCGGGGCACTAGCTTACCAAGAGCAAATACCAGGTGTTTTGACGGATCTGCTGGGCTGGACCGAAGGATATGGCCAAAGAGCCTCAATTTGGTTCTTTTCCACGTCCAATGTGTCTCCGAAGTGCTCGAACTTACAATGATGATCACGATGGACTTCTTCATACATTTTGGAATTAGTCTCTTCTCTGTCTACGAACGTTGATGGCTTGCCGAGAATTTCGCGAAGCATGTTGCTTTGAAAACCATTAAGTTTGGATGTTTCTGATGTTACTTGTATACATTCCAAACTATATAGAAGCTTGCTGCGAACTATTGAGTTGAATACATGTATCTTCTATTTCAATTATAGAAGTTTTTGCTTTGTTCCAAAACAGCCCCATACGTATGCATGTTCCAATGCAATTGTCAAGTCCATTTGCAGCCTCGGCTTTGTTATCCTTCTGGAGCAAACCGAACTGACGTAACACGTTGATTAGCAGTGAGGTTGACACATTTGTCGTAGTTAAGCTTGAGTCCGAAATATAGGGGGGACTTTGAACCGTCTCAGTGCTTCCAGCATTTTGTCCTGCGCAACTTTAGCACACGCCTTTTCCCAATCCAGAAGTATCAAAGTACCGTGGCTTTTAGACTTTTCCGAGATGTCTTGTAATCTTCTTGCTGCAAAACTTGCTTGACTTGTGCTCTTGCCTTTTCTGAACCCATACTGAATTGCCATGAGCCATTTGTCTAGGCCTTTATCAAAACGATCTTTTTACAAGGCTACTACACACTTTTTGCACGCTGTCAATAAGGGGTCTGTAATTTTCACGCTTTGTTGCATCGTCTCTCTCGTAGATTGAGACAACCACCGCGTTTAGATGACAGGGGTCGATGTTGCCTTGTCTGAGACATACATTTGCTGCGTGAAGCAGAAGCATTTGTTCTCGCCATCCAGCCACTTGTATAATTCTCCAGGGAGACCGTCATTACCTGCCATTTTGTTCTTCTTAACCTGCAAAGTACATAGTCCAACTCCACTAGTGTGAAATCCGAATCGTCAATCATGTATCTGCCAGCTTGTAAAGGGGGGTAATCTCGATCCGGCCTTTGATGCTGATTCTCCTGTGCCTTCCACTGGACCTTTTCCAAATATTCGGCAGCTTTATGTTCATTGGGACAGGTTTACCGTTAAGGTCTTTATTTGTTTGCGACATCTGGTGTAAACTTAGCCCTCATCCTGTTGAGTCCATCCTTTTTAACCCCTTGGTTTGTCATTTCTTCCAACTCCTCTAATAACTGGCGCTTCCTTGTCTTTCTTAACTCTTGCCTTGATTTCTTGACTGAGCCTTTTTTTCCGCGTCGTCATCTCCATTCTCAATTGCCTCCCGTTTGCGCTCAAGCAGTGTCCGTGTCTTTTAGGGATATGTAGGGTATTTTCTGTTCGGCTGCTGCCTAGGCAAAGCGTCGGAACTTGTCGTAATGATTTCATTTAGTTGTTCCATAGCAGTAGTTGTTTAGGATTGTTAAGTATGTGTTGGGAGCTCGCAAGATGTCTAATCTGGTCGTTGAAAGTGGCTAGTTCTTGTGGTGAAGGGGTTCGGAATCGAGGAATGTTGGGCGTTCTTGTTTTATCATGAGCTTTCAACGTGAATTTAACATTAGCCATCATGAGCTTATGATTTATGATCTGTTTCCACCGTATGGACATAAGTTGTGGAGACATTCGTGATCGCATTTTCCATTCGTAGCTAATAAGTATGTAATCCATCTGTGCATATTTGTGCAAGTGCCGTGCGGCCTTCCAATCTTATGTATATATACACACATATACACACATACATACATACATACATACATACATACGTACATACATACATACATGCTCATACTTATAGTGGTACTTTTCTTATACATGTGCATACAGCTCTACACAGGCATACCTACACACAAATATCCACCGACACGTCTTCAGCAAATTCCCGTGCGACCCTAAACCCTAAATCCTAAACCCCAAATCCTAAACCCTAAACCCTAACCCCTAAACCGTACTCTGGTCTCTCTGTGCCTCTGCATCGATTAGAGCTTTGCAATCGGAGCCAAGCCGACCGGCCAGGTGTTCCTCAAGGCTTTAGGGTTTAGGGTTTTACGTTATAGGGCTTAGGGCCTTTAGGGTTTAGGGCTTTACGTTATAGGGCTTAGGGCCTTTAGGGTTTAGGGCTTACGTTATAGGGCTTAGGGCCTTTAGGGTTTGGGGTTTAGGGTTTACATTAGAGGGCTTAGGGCCTTTAGGGTTTAGGGTTCAGTGTCATGGGTGACACTACTCGGCTCAAAGCTGCGACATCCACCAAAAGTCGGTCCTTTAGAAGGCTCACTGCTTGGTCACGGGAGCCACGAGCTTTGGCCATCTAAAACAGTGGCAGCGACTGGTTCCTGTGCTCTGTCTCGCCTTTTGAGGAAAGCTGGAAGCTTGACAATCCTGCAGCTGTTAGCTTTCCCGGACGGGTTCTACTGCATCTGCTCCTTCTGACTGCCGGCATCAGGAACTGCTTCTGTGCTCACGTGCCCAAACAAAGTCCTCTCACAGCCACCTAAGGCCGAAGCCAGGGACCCTAAACCCTTTTTCTGGATTGCGCGCTCTCTTGCGCCTACCATTCCAATCGCTGGGGCAGTGCACGCTGTACAGAAGGGCACTGCTTGGTATGCAAAACCGCCCAGCACAACCCAGCTCAAGCATAATAGGTATGCTCCGAGCTTGACGTGCCAGTCAGATTCCGGGTGCGTTCATGCGGAAAAGCGAAAGGAAATAGGCCGAAATGAGAGCGCAACTGGCCGAAATGAGAGTGCAACTGGAGTCTGGCAGCAACGTAGCTGTCCATCGCAGCCTAGCTGATTTAAGGCTTGCATCTACCCCCGTGGGCATAGCGCTGGAAAGATCAAAAAGACAGTCATCTAGAGCCGCTGCTTCCGCTGCCGCCAGTCTCGGGTTCCCGTCACTGCATGTCATCATGTCATGTCATGCGCAGGAACAGTGCTGTTGTGTTACTCCGTTATAGTATGTTATACCATAGCATAGTGCATTGTCGGCCTTGTCGGTGCCTTCTGCTTATGGCTGACGGAAGACTGTCAAGAGGGTCTGCGCTTCGTCATGACGGGGCACTTGACTGCATATAAAGGCATCCATCATCAGTGGCATGCAAGTCAGCATCGAATAGGTCTGATGCTGCTCTGCACTACCAAGAGCCATGTGACGTAGCACGAGACCGTTCTGAGTCAAAGCTGTATCTGGTCATATCAAGACCTCTAGTTCTGCATAATGGTTAAGCACAAGCAAAGAAGATGCAGGTCACTTGCCAGTCGTTAATTTGCATTGAGACCTGATCGGGCATGAAGATTTCGCTTGAACAGGAGGCACTCCTCGGCGAGTCACGCAACACTAGCAGAACAGAGCATCTTCCGGTCGGCCCATGCCGCTGGCGGCAAACATGACAAGACCATCCTCCCTCCCTTCGCACACTCGTCGGCTGAAAACGGAACAGGAGGCAGGCAGACTTGCTGGCGCCTAGCATTCTGTGGGAATTCGTACGATACTATATTATGCTATACTGAATTATCTGCCATGCTGACGCTCCTAACAGCGCCGCCAAGCAGACGCCGAAATCCCCAAGAGAGCAAACCCTGCCCACCGGGCCACGCCTCTGTCTGGTGCCACAGCAAAAGCCACATTCCAGAAACTGCCCAGGGATGCATGCTATCTTACTATACAACATTACACTGTACTGTACTACTATACTACTATACTACTATACTACTATACTACTCTACTACTCTACTACTATACTACTATACTACTATACTACTATACTACTATACTACTATACTACTATACCACTAGACTACTAGACTACTATACTAGTATACTACTATACTACTATACTACTATACTACTATACTATTATACTA